AAAAAAAAAAAAAAAAAAAAAAAAAAAAAAAAAAAAAAAAACTGAACTGAATGAATTAACAAATACGAACAGGGTCAGATGCCAAAGAAAATAGTAAAAACCTAGATCTCAAGTGTCCAATTTTTTCACTTCTTATCTACGTTATCATGTCATGATAACAAAAATAAAACATGTCAATTGCATTTTTGCTTCTCTTCAACAAAATTCCACACAATTGCAAGTATTTACTTTATGCTTAAAATTCAAGTCAAATATTGAGTTTGGGCGGGACAGGTTTTAAAATATAATTAAGTTTTAATTTGGTTGGACCAACTAATTCGGTTATTTAGAAATTGCAGAGGCTAAAAATTCAAACAAGGAGTACGAATTGACATAATGAAGGATTCCCGAATCTTGGAACTTTTTCCGGTATGGAACTACAAATGCAAATGTTAGTGAAACATACTTGCACCCCATTCCTAAGAAAATTGGTAGAAAAAATCACGAAGACTTAATACCATAAGCCTTGCAAGTATATACAAAGTTATCACCAAAGTTTTAGCAGAGAGGCTAAAATTACCCCTCATAACATGACTGAGCAAAATTTCATTATTAAGGGGGAAGGCAAAACATTGTCTCTTGCCTTATTGAAAGTGAGCTCATAGGGAAGCAAATCCCACACACCCTTTCTATTGTCTCTCATCACAGAATATTTTAGCAACTGTCAAAGGATGTTTTGTAATCCCAAATTAAATAACGAAAATAGTCTACCTCCCTAATTTATCTGGTTAGATTTATAAAGATTTAATTACCTAGTATCTAGGGATTATTATTTAGATTTATTGTTAACTAGAGATTTATTTAGATTTATCTCATCTCATTACCTATTATGTAATGATTTATTTAAATTACCTAGTATATAGGGAATTTAGATTGTCTATTGATTTAGATTTGGTTAGCCTTTCTTCCTCTAAAAGGGCATGCAATTCTCTGAAAATTAATAAGAAAAAACAACAAGCTAATTTAGAGCTGCAACAGCAAGTAATACCTCCATAATCGTTGATGATACCATCCTATTCTCATCCATTTTGCATTCAAAGCTCTAAAATCTTTTGAAAGTTATGAAGGTTTCTGAAGCAGCCAAAGCCTTGGAATTGAATTCAACCTTGGAACGTCAACTATGTCGAGCTAAATTGTGAAGATCGTTAGTGCACAAACGAACCCTAATTTTTAATCATTCTTTTGGATTAATGGCCAAGTAACTACGTAGGTTTTCCCTTAATGATGATCTAAAAATAATCTTCCTACTAAGGCCCAATTCTCAAGAAGATCCAATGGGAGATATCTCTTTTCTCCAAAGATGGCTGGCTCACCTTGATCCAAGCTTCTCTCTCGAGTAACTAAGTTGGTCTTCCCTTACCTCTTATTTTATGTCTATTCTTAAAATGCAGAAGAGAGCTTCTGAAGCAATTGAATTGACGTCATTCGAAAAGTGCAGCTTATCACATTGTGAGTTTGAAGGAAGTCTTACATTTGACTATCTGAGTCGAGCCCTTCTTGACAAACGCTCCAGGGATTCTGATGATTAGCTCATGAGAAATCAGCTCTTTGAAGGCAAGTGTTAAGACCAAGTAAGTATCCTCATCATCAGCTTGATAATGTTGACTCTTGAAATTGGTCTCTAGAATTCCCCTTCAGTTGCAAATCTTTCCTCCAAGATCTAATTCCTCCATAAAGATCCTGACCACCAATTATGCACCATTATTTGAAGAATAGCTACCCCAAAAGAGTGAAAGTTCACATTTAGGAAATTTGCTCGACAGTATTTTGGAACATGTTTTCCAACGGCCAAGCAACAAAATTTTAGAACATATTTTCCTCTTTTGGGTGGTCTTATGCTTTTGATTTCAAGGAGGCCAACATCTCTTCTATCTTTTACTTAATCCATTCAAAGACCACTACGGTCATTGAGAAAATGTCACCGATTTATTAGAAGCTTTATCCGTGACTTGGTTGGTAAAGGATGCCACCTTTCTGACCAAGTAATAGGGCAGTCTAAAACCCGAAGGGTTTTTCAGCAATTTGATTCTAATTTGTTAGTTGGATAGGATAGCCAAACAACTCCTAGGCACACACCACAGGTAGGCAGACCCATATGACAACATGGTTGTATCTGATGATGAAAATATGATGTAATAGTCTATATCATTGGGTACAGCCAACAAATATGAACTAATAAAAAGTTGCTCCTTTATCATGCAAGAAAAACAGAGAGATCTAAGAACTTCCTCATGTTTGAACAATCATTAACCGGAGTAGGTTTAGAAATCCTCAAAAGAGTGTAAAGGAACAAGAATAATAGAGGTATGGTTTCAATGTGATATCTTGGAGAGAACATGCAACTTCCAGAAATACTCAACTGGCTTCTAGGCCGCAGAAGATGGAACTTTACTGCCACACAACTGACCAATACCAAATTCCAATGACAATATTAAAAAAGTATATGACCAAGCAGATATGCACAAAAATAAACACCAATCAACTACCAGTACAAATTTAACAAGCGATAGTTCTGGAGGTAGCACGATTCTAGAAGTATAAAAACCTAACAGTGTAGAAATTGGAATCATAATCCACGCCGGAAGAAAACTGAAAAGCATGGTAAAAATCAAGCTTAGGAAATGAATAAGGTCAAAGAGCAGCTCGTATTTACCAATTATATTATTTTGAATGCAAGCAACCAACTTCTTCTGGTCCCTGCACTTCTTGTTGTCGGGTACACCATCACAAATTTCATGATTACTTGATTGAAGACCGCCTTCAGTCCTGTTTCCATTGTTTGTGTCCAAAGGCTTACCATTACCAGCCTCGCTAACATTATGCGAACTACCAGAACTCGAATTATTGAGTCCTTTCGAATCCAGATTAGACGATGAGTTGTTGGGTGCAGGCGGGGGTGGTTCACGTTGCTTCTTTCCATCAACGGGTGCAGAATCCGAGTGATTCGTAGAAGAATTCGGACTGATGAGAGGCAAAACCTAAAAGGCGAAAATGAAAAGTTCATAAAATAGTACAGAGATATAGGAATCTTTCTTCAATTCTTTTTCTCTTCTTAAAGAAAGTAGATGATTACAGGTGACGTTCCGGTGGAGTTATCTTTTGAAGCCGGGTCTAACAACTTTCTTGAATCCCAAAGCGACGCATTGGTTACCTCCGAAACAACTGCATAACAGAAAAACAATGCCAGAAAACAATCTCCACGCATAGCCATCGAATCCAAACCAAATCAGGATAATTCTCTAGCCTTGAAGATTGGAAATGACAGAAATCACTCTTGCTAATTTCATTCTCCGAGAATTGAACACAATCAAATACACCACATATTCTCTCCAGCTTAGAAACACAGCCCAGATTTAAGCAGCGTACACAGAATTGCAAGAAACTGTAAGATGATTTTGAGGGGAAATTTCTCAAAAGCTCCAAATTCTGGGATTTCCTTATATTCAGGATTTCCAAGTTGATGGTTGTTGACACAGATTGATGAGAAGAACCGTGGCGGGGAAAGAATTTTATCGATGCTTCCTTCAGAATTTGCGGTAATTAGCGGGCATTTTATTCTTAGTCTATTGGGCCTATGAAAAGGCAAGGCCCAATAAAGACATTGACAGATCCATGGGCCCTAAACTTGGGCCTTATCCTTTACTACTGATATTGAAAATGCCATCAAAATTCGTGTAAATAAATAATATTTACTTTTAGTTTCCATAATTTAATTTATGTAATATTAAGAATCTTAATAATTAACAATTATTCTCAAAGATCTGATTTTAATAAAACTATATAACTTTTAATGGTAAATAATTATATCCTTATTTTTAGAAATGAATTATTATTTTAAATTAAGTAATTAGTTTTGTTAAATTAGTAATTAATTAACTACATATATAACATTATGCAGACAATATATGATGCTGTTCGATAACGAATGATAATTTGGTATATACTTGGAGATACTTCAGCACTAACTAAGGAATCCAAATCTTAACAGTGAAAAGAGTAGATGGGAGAGGAATCTACAACAGAGACCAAAATAATTGCTCTTTAGAAGAGTACTGACAAAACCTGCCGCCGATGAGTGTCAAGTGCGTGTCAAATTTCATGCCCGGCTCGTGTATTGGCCAGTCCTTGTATCTACCACTATACTATCGCCTACGTTTACAAACAGAGGGACATTAACAACGGCTCCAGTTTCAAGAGTTGCGGGCTTTGAACCACCTGCCAATCAAATTTCATCTTCAATTAGAAGGCTGCCAATGTAATTATTAAGAAGAAATATTGTGGCTTGGATGAAAAAGAACCAATCCGTATGACTAAGACCAGGAAATCTATGTCGACCATGATGCAGACACAAACCATATGGTTGAGGATCGAGGGAATCGAGGTTAACGACGTTGTCGCTTGAAGAAGGGAGGAAATTGTTGTTTCCAATATATCATGTGGGTAATGGAATGTAATAGCCCAAACCCACCACTAGCAGATATTGTCTGCTTTAGCACGTTACGTTTCGTTGTCAACCTCACGGATTTAAGATGTGTCTATTAGGGAGAGGCTTTTTCCACACTCTTATATGGAATGCTTCGTTCCTCTCTCCAACCGATGAGGGATCTCACTGTCTACCCCATTTGGGGGCCCAGCATCCTCGCTGGCACACCTCCCGCTAGCATTGCTAGCATCCTCAATGATGTCCAACTTGTAAGGAATGTTTAGTCTATGAATTAGACCTCTGCAACTTAAAGATTAGGAAATCGTACTCATATTAGAATGTAGGTTTGTTTATTCTAAATTAAGGACTTAATAATCTCAGGGACTACATGAACTCAAATTACATAAATACAAGCTATGAAATGTACCTTAAACAAGTTATAAACTCACAGGCTAAAAACAAACTATACAGATTGAGACGGTTACAGTTGCTTTTCTAAACCGTACACAGCATAAATTTCGTAAATCTAGGTGATACAAAATAAAGTGTCTTAATCATGCCACACACATTTCATGGTTAACTTTTAGATTATAAGTTACATTTAGATAGGTCATTGTGGTATTGATGACCATAAAAGTTACAATCCTTCAATTAACCATAGGTTACTATAATGTTTATTTTCAAAGCTATAAATAGTCATTCATGTTGTTACTTTAGTAGGTGAAGATTTTAAAAATTATAATGAAAGTTTTATATTATGCAAGCCATCAGCTTGTTCCTTTCCATTTTTTGGGTTTAGATTTGCATGCTAGAGTCATTCAAGTAGTTTTGATTAAGCTATCTTGTAAAGTGATTCGAATCACGAGCTTTGAAACGAATTTTTTTACTCTTGATCTTGATCATCAAGGTAATCTGTTCTAAACGGGTTAATTTAATTTCTTATCATTTTTGGGCGCTTGGATCTTGATAATCAAGATATTGGTTTTGTACACTAATCTAATCATGCTCAATTATGTTATGGAAATTTTAGCCCATTTAAATACAAGGAACCTTATCTCGCTGCAAAACATTAACAAAGCATTAAAAGAAGATTTTTGGTCCTAAAAGACAAGTAAAAGTGTGGTACCTTGTGCAGTGTCCCCTTTCAGTCCAGGATCAACGTCAACCACAGTCAATTGAATTGTGTTGGGAACCTCAAAATCAATAACCTAAAAGATGGGAGAACAGAGAAATGAGACGACTCAAGAATTACTATCATCATATTTCACTTCTTATAACTGATGCACGCTGACACTTTGTAGAAACTTGAATGCAATGTTCATGACATGTAACTCATTCATCAAGAAATACGAAAGCTGCTAAATCTTATCGTATTTTTCGAGAGCGAACCATTTAAGAACCGCGTTATGAACTCTATTCGGGAAACACAGTAAAAAAATGCCTGTCAAAAGCTGTCTAAGTGATCGGATTACCTTCCCATTCCAAAACAATACGATGCAGTCCATTCCTTCTTTCAGCCACTTTGTCCTATCACCAACGTCTGCCGCATTTAGGCGTATTTCTTCATACGTATTCTGAAAAATGAGCCACTTAGACTTATTTGATGCAGTTGTGGACTACCAAACTAAAATTTATTCACTAACTAGCTTCGCATAGAACGCGACTATGAGAAGAGCTACCCTATATATCAAGTTGTCTAGAGAGAAATTCTTTGCGAATTATGAGAAAGGAGACAATAACGACCAAATCATAACTACATATACGTGTGTGTGCGCGCGCGCGTGTGCGTGTGTGCGTGCGTGTATTTATATACCAGATCCATGAAAACAAACTGGGAACCATCTTTGTATGTGAACTGCTTGACTTCCTTGTATACATTGGCCTCATCAAGCTGGAAAGACAATTAAAGACAAATGATTAAGAACGGACGAGGAAGAAAATATGAAAGAAGAAACATCACAATTGTAGCAAATCTTTTCCAAAAATCAAGGTCTTGAGAAAGCATTTGAGGGCATAATTCATTTCCAGTGTGGTTGGGTATAGCATCCTATTTTCTACATAGTTGTTGAAATCTGAAATCTAGCAGATGCCAATTTCTTGCGAGCCCAAGCCTACTCGTGGCAGATATTGTCCGATTTGGCTCGTTACGTGTCACCCTCAGCCTCACGGTTTTAAAACGTGTCTACTAGGGAGAGGTTTCCACACCCTTATAAGGAATGTTTCATTCCCCTCTCCAACCGACGTGGAATCTCACAATCTACCCCTTAAGAACTAGCGTCCTCGCCGGCACACTGCCCGGTGTCTGACCTTAATACCATTTGTAACAATCCAAGCCCAACACTAGTAGATATTGCCCGCTTTGGCCTGTTACGTATCGCCATCAGCCTCACGGTTCTAAACCACATCTACTAGGGAGAGGTTTCCACACCCTTATAAGGAATGTTTCATTCCCCTCTCCAACCAACGTGGGATCTCACAATCTACCCCCTAGAGGACCAGCGTAACAGTCCAAGCCTAACACTAGCATTTGTAACAGTCCAAGCCTAACACTAGCAGATATTGTCCGCTCTAACTAAGAGTGGAACCTCACATTATGAGTAGCTATAAAAGCTCCCATAACTTTCTAGCCCGTTTAATACGGTGGGGATATCAATGAAATAAAGAGCTGAAACGGATATCTGAGTTCAATTTAAACAAGAGGGATGATATCTACAAAAATCAATGGGAAACAAAGTGGATGATATTGAACCATTCAGCAGTGATTACAGGTTTGAAATATATATGAACTGCAAATTCTCGCATGCATGACTAGATAATAATTCTGCTACTCACCGAGCTTCCTGCTCGAAAAGTTCTCTCAACCGTATTTCCTGATACATAATTGCGAATTTTGGTCCTTACAAAAGCTGCTCCTTTGCCGGGTTTAACATGAAGGAACTCTATCCAAAAAAACAACAATTCAAGAACAGCTCACTCCGGTTAGATAAATCGAACAGCAAGAAATAATGGTTGGGGAAGGGGAAATTAGACAAGGGGTAGAGAAACAACCTAAAACCCGCCAAGGAGCTCCATCCACTTCAATATTGGTGCCAACCTTGATGTCGTTGCTAGTTAACGCATAAATCCCTGAAAGTGCAACAAAAATTACAATGCTATACCCGAGGAATGAAATTCAATCGAACATTCAGAAATGACACGGAGCAATGCCATAATCGAAGGGTTTACTCAAAAATCTGGTACGCGAATTAGCCGAGGAAGAAAACCGCCGGGTTCGGAGAACAGACGGCTTCGAAGAGAGCGAAAGCGAAGCCGTTGACGATGAGCGGCGGGCGAGAAAAGCAGAAGAGAACGAGGCATTACAGAGGAGAGCGTCGGCCATGTCTGGGAGCGTCTCGGCAAGTGTAAGTGGTTTCTCTGAGCGTTCCCCCTCGAGTCTTGCGCAGAATGACAGGAAAAGAGTGAGGCGTCGTTCGGGGATAAGGCCTGGGAGGGCAGGATTTCACCTTTTACCGCCATTCTTTAATTGGTCTTAATTTTTTTTTTTTTATTATTAGGATTGTTAAAAAAAATTAAATAGACCAAAAAAAATATATACAATTTTTCAGTCGAGTTATTAACTTATTTAAAATTTTATTAATTGAATTAGTTTATAAGTTCATAAAATTAGTTATTTAAATTTAAAATATATTTTTATTTACAATATAATTATATATACGTATACTTAATTTTATATAATTATTTTTATTATGTACCACGCTTAAAATAACTAAGTAACCTTAGATTTTTAATAAAAAAAAAGATTAAATTAATAAAAAAATATCTATAAAATTTATATTTTATCTCGTAAATACTTGTAAACTGGTGAATAAAAAAAATTACAGTCATTTAATAGTTTTTTTTTAAAATACTCGACTTTTAATAATGTTTCAAAAATACCATTCAACTTAAAATGTTTTATTAATATTCTTCGAAAAAATTTAAATATTAAAAAATAATTTTTCATTAGCACTATGTTTAAAAAATACTCATAAATTTTAAGAGTAGCATTAAAATCCTTTACATTAAAAATATATATATATATTACCGTTAATATATCGACAAAAGTCATCAATCAATATCTATCTACAAATATTTTAATATTACTCTTGAAAATTGATGAGTACACTTTAAATCTGGTGATAACAACAAATGTATTTTTTTAATTTTTAAAAAAAATTTAAAGATATTTTTTTTAAAAAAATTTAAGTTTAAATATACTAAGCAAAGATATTTTTAAACAATTTTGAAAGTTAAAATAGTGTTTTTTGAACCAAGTATTAACTGTCTTAATTGTAAAGTAATTTTAATTTTTTTTAGTACAAAGATATTTTTTTTTAATTAATATTATTAAGGTTGATGAATATATATTTTTTTAAGGTATAATGTAAAATTGTATCTTATTTTTATTAATTTAACCTAAATATATATATATATATATATATAAATTCGACCGGATCAAATAAATAAATACAAGCTAAATAAAAAAAGAAAAAGAAAAACAAGATATGATATTGATTTGTTTAATCATTAGTTTTGTACAAATATTAATTCGCAACCGTGTCGTGGCCATCACCAAGTTCTGTGCAATAATTGCTGTTCATCACCTCTTCCTTTCCCTTAATTAATTATCATTATAAACCAATAATCTATAGATTTTTCGTAATTCGGGTCCGGTTTGATTATTTTTTTCAAAAATATTTAAATCCTTAATATAATTTTTGTTTATTAATTTAATTTTTAAAATTAAAAAAATCAAATGTTTTGCTTATTCCTTTTTCCCTTAGCCACTACCGAGCGGGAACTGAGAGGCGTGCGCCGCACCGGCCCTGCCGGTTGTCAGCCTCCGGACGCGATTGTTCGCTAGTTGGCCTCTCTCTTTCAGCGCGGTTGGTGTCCTCCCATCTCCGCCGCTGGATCCATCAACCCAATCAGCCTACGTCACATCCAATCAAATCAACGGCCCTCATGGCCTCCGACTCCCACCGGCAATCTGGACCATTTTGGGGTTCCGTTATGTGGCAGGCACAAGCGTAGTAAAGTGCAAAAGAGGAGGGCATTTCCGTCATTTCACCCTCTGAAACCGTAGTGCATGCGAAATATGCGATTGGATTAAAAATGGTATGGCGCATTATACGGAACTGTCTTTTTGGCGCAGTATTGTCATTTAGATAATCCGCTTTAACCTAACCCACTCGCCCTTGTCGAGCGTGTCTCCTACTCGCTGCTGAGCTAATTTCCGTCATTTCACTCTAATCACGCTGACCTATCAATGATCACGCAAATGCTTCCTTTAGTAATTTTAATTTTAATAAACTAGCTTAATTTCAAATAATAAATAATTAAATAAAAATATAATTTTAATTCATTTTAATATTTTTAAAATTTTAAAATTAAGCCGCTATATTTTTAATAAATCTTAAAATTGATCTATATCTGCCTGAGCCTAAGTTGTCTGAGAAAGATACCTGTACAGACGTTGAAACTGTTACTCTCTTAGGTGAAGAGTTATAATTGTCGTTTAGTGAATGTAATTGATAGATTTTCCAGTATTATTCAATTTTTTTATATAAATAAAAAACAATTATTATTTAATTTATTTTAATAAAATTAAGTTATTAACAAACCAATTTAAAATCTATTGGAAATAGTGAGATTAAAATGAAAAAAAAAACATAGACCCTCTTATATTTCATGTTAATTAATTAATTTATTTATTTATTTTTGTTAAAAGTGTATTAAAATTAAAATGAAAAATAATAATTAAATAGAAGGAAGGGTAAGTGGGGATGGCTGTGTCTTGAAGCATCATCGTGCATCAGTGCATGCATTTTGTGCTTCCCAACTTCTCCTCTTCATCCTCTCTCTCAATCTCTACTTTATTCCTCGGTTGCTTTGGGAGCACTCGTCTTCTCCGTTCAACTTTCCGATTCCGATCAGAGATCCAGCTCAAAGGTACCTGAAATCTTACTCTCTTCAGGATTATCTCCTTTTTCCTCAATCTTCAAAGCTTCAGTCCTGCTCTATTTCCTCTGAATGTTTATATCCCATGGGCACCTATGTTTTTTTATGGTATTCGCGACTTTAGCAATTTTAGTTGCTGTTTGAGAGAGAGAACTAGCTATTATCTTAGCTCTGTTTCTCATATGGTTGTTTGTATGGTGTCCTGTTTGGTCGACTAATTTTGACTATGGATTGCTCGGCTGCTGGAGTTTATCTAATTTAATTAGGGCTCTCGTTTCCGCGTCATGAATTTTGGTCTTGTGAAATTTTCAGAATTGAGATTGAGGAATGGCTTCGAGGACTTGCATGAATGTGTCATGCGGAGCATCCTCTTCAACCGAATGGAGGAAAGGTTGGGCTCTGCGATCTGGCGATTTTGCTACTCTCTGCGATAAGTGCGGGTAATTTTACGGGCACAAAATCTATTTAAATTTTGTAGAAAGTAGCGGAAGCTCTGTTGAGGTTTCTGCGCTTTGGCTCGACTTTATTTTAACTACATATATACTCTCTCTCCCTTTCTTGTTTTACGCCTGAGGTAAATAGGATACAAGTTTTCGAATTTCATTTGGCTTGCAGCTGGCCGTAAGATTTTTAATTTAGCCGTCCTAGTATAGAAGCTAGAGTGGCTGCTCAAGAGGCATAAATTAGCCTTGAATTGTGCTTTACCAGCTAATAGTTTCTCGCTGTATTATTAACTTCAATATATTTTTAAATTTTTTTCCTTCAGGTGCATTTCATTTTTGTTCTAGCATTATGCTATCTAGAATTGAGAAATTTGAGTGCATAGTTTTATCATCTTATTTGTGTCAAAAGTTCTATATATATATATATATATATTTATTTATTTATTTATTGAATTTGAGATCCTAAACATGTCACAATTAATGAACTGTTAATAGGTCTGCTTACGAGCAGTCAATTTTCTGCGATGTGTTCCATTTAAAAGACTCTGGTTGGAGGGAGTGTACCTCATGTGGCAAGGTAATCCGATTTGCAATAGTCAATCTCTTTTCTTTTCAATGCTTTCTCTTCCTTATATGCCTAGATTTTTATCAAATGGTGTTTCATTGCAGAATCTTCATTGCGGATGCATTGCTTCCAAGTTCCTGATGGAGCTTCATGACAGTGGGGGGGTGAACTGTATAAGCTGCGCTAAAGATTTAGAGCTTCATATTGTAAGAACGTACACCTGTATAACTCACTGGTTTATGTTGCAACTTACTAGTTATTGACTATAGCCCACAAATGCCTAACTTTTTTACTTTTAAGTTATATTCTTTCTTGCTCTTATCATGATCCTTCACTTAAACTGGTTTACATGTTGTATTTAGCATCTTAAGTATTTAAGTTGAAGGTATTCCTCCTTGCTACAGTTGTACTTTTTTCTGTTCCATCTTCTATGATAAAGCAATTGATATTTATAAATAAACAAGAATCCTTTTGTTTTATTTAAATGAACTTTCTATTTGAGCTTTTGGATTCTGTAATGATGCACAAAGATTATAAGATTCTCTTATCCCTCCAACAATTATTCTCTCCTACCAAATGATATCTAATTCATTATTCTGCTTATGGGATATATTATTACAGACCGGTACTAGTGAAAAGCTGAATGGGCTTGGCACACCACAAGTTCAGAATTCTGGTGCTTTACAAACACTTTTAGTGGAAGATGATAACAGTGATAGAATAAGGCTCGTCCAGCAGGGAAACAAGGCAGAGGGAAATGAACTTAGGGAATCACTCCTATTGCAAAGTAATGACAAAACTGGATCCTTAGTTCAAATGAAACATGAAGAAAATATTTCTCTGGTGAAAAATGTTGGGTATGTATCTTCCTTGGAATTCAATCAGGTGATGACAAACGGGTTGAATGAAACTGCCAAACAGGAAATCTGCAAAGCAGACAATGGAACAAAGTTTACTTATGATTCTCTTGCTTTCGGATGTGGTAACTCAAATCCTCTTCCCGCTGTTTCTAGTGATGAAAAAGAGGATAGCAAGTCATCCTCTCCTTTGCTTCTAGGTTCTAGATCTCGTCATCTTATTCCGAAGCCCGCACGTGCATTATTTAATGTAGGCTTAGAGCCAAATGCTAGCATGGTTTCACAAGTACGCGTAGCAAGGCCACCTGCTGAAGGGAGGGGGCGGAATCAATTGCTTCCTCGTTATTGGCCCAGGATTACTGACCAAGAACTGCAACAGATATCTGGAGCGTATCCATCCCTTCATTTTAATTGTTCTATTACTTTCTGCCAGTATATTTCCATGTCTTGAGCAATTATCATTTTCCTGGTTTATAAAAATTAAAATGCTACTCCTTAACTGTCTGATCTTAAGTTCAAATTCCACTGTTGTGCCATTGTTTGAAAAGATGCTCAGTGCCAGTGATGCTGGTCGGATAGGCCGATTAGTTGTCCCAAAAGCCTGTGCTGAAGTAAGATTTGCACCATGATTTGTCTAGTTTTGCGACTATGTTTTATGTTTACTGTAGTGGATACTGTAAACTGTTTGGTGATCTCTGGACAACTTTGCAGGCATATTTTCCTCCAATCTCTCAGCCAGAAGGCCTTCCTATAAGAATTCAAGATATCAAAGGAAAAGAGTGGGTGTTTCAGTTCAGGTTTTGGCCCAATAATAACAGTAGAATGTATGTTTTGGAAGGTGTAACTCCCTGCATACAGTCCATGCAGCTGCAAGCTGGAGATACAGGTAAGTATTCATGGCTGGATTATTTGAAAGCAACAATTTTAAAATATTAACGATTAAGCTAGTGATTTTTTGTTTCCATTGTTTATCCTTCTAATAATAAAGCCAGAGAATATGCAGTGGTTTGTGCCAGCTGATATTTAAATCAGTTTTCCTCTTCCATCAACGTTTGCAGATTTTTCTTGGCTGAACTATCTTATTTTATTTTTTGCTTTTTTTTTTTTTTTTTCTGGAAGTACTATTTAAAATTGAATGATGTTTCTTTTCATTTTTGGCACAGTGACTTTTAGCCGCATGGATCCTGAAGGCAAACTTATTATGGGATTTCGCAAAGCATCAAGCTCTTCTATAATGCAGGTAGCTGGCTACTGCAAGTTTTTGAATGTTAGACACTAAAAAGTGTGAAGTTGAGATTGAATTATTTATTTGATTGAACAGGATAGTCATCCAAATGCTCTCTCTACTGCTGGTGGCCATTCGAGTGAATTCTTTTCAAGTGTTTTTGAAAATCTTCCCATGTTGAGTGGCCATTCCAGCCTTCTACAGTCCTTGAAGGGCAATATGGATCCCCATCTCAATTTATTGCCTGGGTACTTCAATCAACCTGGTGCTGATATGAGCTGGCAAAAAGCTGAGAAGCATGATGATAAATCAAGAGAGGGCTTGCTCCTGTCTTCAATGCTTGCACCAGAGAGGAAAAGAACTCGAAATATAGGGTCTAAAAGTAAAAGGCTGCTCGTTGATTGTCAGGATGCGCTGGAGTTGAAACTCAAATGGGAAGAGGTGCAGGATTTGCTTCGTCCACCACCAACTGTCAAACCGAGCAAGTTCGTGATTGAAGATCATGAGTTTGAAGAATATGAAGTATGTGATATATGTGGTTTTAATTCCTACTTTTATAGAGGTTTTTATTCTTGGTGTTCATCAAGGGCAAAAGGTTTTCCCCAACCTTGTTTCATTGTCCAAGTCCCTATTCATACTGCTTTGTCCCTGTTTCTCCAGTTTATTTATCTTGAGTTAATATCAAATCTAAGCAAATACCTGTATCAAGGAGAGCACTCATGTTGAAGTAATTGTTGCACGGCACTGATCTGACAAGCATGTATAAATTTTGTGTACTTTCAAACAGGAACCTCCAGTTTTTGGAAAGAGGAGCATTTTTTTGGTCCGCTCAAATCGGTAATTGTTTTCTATGTTTAATAATGTTTAGAGTTCAAGCTTTACAAGTTTCATAATTGCCATTTGATCTAGCTGTTACTTTTTAATTTGACTGTTACGGACACCATTTGCACCACATATGTTCACAATACAACCATCATGCACACAGCACTGAGTACCCAAAATATAATCCTTTATTCCGGAATACTTCCTCTCATAGCATTTCAAGTACTTAAAACCCCCTATTTGCAAGTACCGAAAAGATAATCGTTTCAACTGATATGTCTTCTACCAGGGGGCAAGAGCAATGGGCACAGTGTGATGATTGCTCTAAATGGCGAAAATTGCCAGTTGATGTACTTCTGCCCTCCAAGTGGACATGCGTGGAAAATATTTGGGATCAAAGCATGTAAGTACTTGTTTTCCTTGCCTTTTTTACTTGTCTACTCAAGGAGAAACTGTTCATAGTGAGAGAGCTTGTACTTTATTTTATACTTCTGAAATCATGTTCTCAGGAGTTCATGTTCTACACCTGAAGAACTGACAACAAGGGAACTGGAACATATTCTCAGATTAAATAAGGGTATGGCTGTGTACCATTATATTTCTCCAACGATTACTGTTCGTTTCCTCTCCTCTGTCTTTGTGCAGATGAGCATGCATCCATACATACGAAAGAATGACATTATAGTAGTATACAACACAGTTTTCAATAGCAGTTTATATTTGTGATTTGCATGCGGTTTTATAATTTCCACATTTATTAGAACTTGTAGCACTAGGATTATTGGGTTATAATCGTCACTTCAACTGCATAAGTTTACATGTGAATTTAAACATCAGAGAGAATGCATGGTCAATTAATTGCTTATTTTGACGTGCCAAGACACAGAACAAGTGTTTATATTAGTGTCTACTCAAGATTTTTCGTGTTGTTATCCCGTGCGTTCCTTGCATTTACTTCATGCTTTCCGTAGATTATGTTTTCATAAACACTTCGTTCTAAATGCCCAATTTCCAGAATTCAAGAGACAGAGAACTTTGGCTTTCAATAGACCAATCCAGGATCATGAATCCTCTGGTCTGGATGCTCTGGCAAATGCTGCAACTTTAGGAGATAATGTCAGTGATCCAGGTACTGCATCAGTTGCAACTACAACAAGGCATCCGAGGCACCGTCCTGGGTGCTCATGCATTGTGTGCATCCAACCACCCAGTGGAAAGGGAAAGCACAAACCTACATGCACATGCAATGTTTGTATGACAGTTAAACGTAGGTTTAAAACTCTAATGATGCGCAAGAAGAAGCGGCAGTCTGAGCGTGAAGCTGAAATTGCACAGAAGAATCAGCTTAAGTGGGGCTCTAGAGATGAAATTGAGCTGGACAACACCTCTAGACATGTATCCCTCAACCTCGGTCCTTCTGAAAATGAAGCCCAACTGACAAATGAATCCAGAAGCCAAAGTAATTTGGTCGAAACTGGTAAGGACCAATTAGATTTGAATTGCCATCCTGACCAGGAAAACGAAGTACAAGGGGTGTCAAATCGAGTGAGCATGATGAGTCTCGTTCAAATAGCAAGCCTGCCATTGGAGACGTACTTGAAGCAGAACGGTCTTACAAGTTTGTTACCGGAGCCACAGGTAAGTTTAGCATCATCACATGCACCAGCACAAGGCGCAAATGAGGTCGAAGGCGCAATGAACGACGATGATGGGTGTTTTGCTTCTTCTGCCCAAGACCAGGAAAGTGAGGGAGAAGAAATCTGTGAAAAAGATCAAAGTTGAAATTCAATCGTGGCTCTTGTTCATGATTATTAAATACTAATATGTTAAGTATAGGATATTTAATTTTAATGTAAATAGCAAAAAAGTTTTTAAGTTCCTTTTTCTTCTGGCAAAATGTATATAACTTTCTTGTGGTTGATAGGGTCTTTCAGAGTTTTTCCCCGTTGTCAAATATAAAATTGGTCATGGTCTCCAATACAGGGAGGTCCTCGTAACAATTGACACAAAATCCTGTTCGGACAGCTTTAGTAGAGGTGTAGTAGATCTGGATCATTCTTCCGTGACTGTACGGTTCAATTTTCATCTCTGACTACAGAAGTGTAGTGGGTAGCCAGTCCCCATGTGAGGTGTAGGCATGCGCGGCGGATGAGCGGCGGAGTGCAGCAAACGAGACTGAGTTGCGCACAATTAAGAGACAATGTCAGTATAGTCCACTTTTTGTTTGTTATATATCAGTCCTTCTCATGTCCATATGTTTTCATGTCCATCGTTAGTAAATATTGTCCACTTTTTACTATATATCATCGTCAACCGTTCTGTTATGTATTGTCTTGGCCTCACGATTTTCATGTCTATTGCTAGTAAATATGTCCACTTTTTGTATATATTACCATCAACCGTCTCATTATATATCGTCGTCAGTCTTACAATTTTTTACGTCCATCGCTAGTAAATATTATCCACTTTAGTCCGTTATATATCGTCGTCAACCGTCCCGTTATGTATCGTTATCAACCTCACGATTTTAAAACACATTTACTATCGAGAGGGTCTAACCTTACTCTGAGTCGGACCTCAAGCACACCTACTGTCATGGATCATAAGAGAGAGATAAGAGATAAGAAGGAGATGGGAAAGAAGCAAAACAAATGTGTAAAATGGGAGTTTGCATCAGAAGATGCTGACCCCAATCCCAACCATAACTCAATTATATCTACAAAACCAAAACCTTTCCTTTTACAACAACACCACGGGTTGCATTTATCTCTTATGTATTCTTTTGAATGATCAAAAAAGTTGAAAAATAAGTGTGTATCTATATATATATAAGGAAAATAAAAGAAAACAATTTACATACACAATCAAAATCCTTCAACCCCAGTTCGCCGAAAGGTCGATGACGATGATTTTCGGTTTCCCTGTCTATCAAGCTCCTCAAGTGAATGTGAGGAACAGGCACGCGGGGGAAGAGTTAACGGCAAGGTTCTTCTAGACGGAGATACAGACAGCCGAGCACCCGAAGGTGGCGAAGGGGAGAAACTTAATCGAGGCGCTGGGGTGATGATACCATTAAGGCTTGGAGACCTTGAAATCTGTTTTCCAGCAAATGCTGCAGGTTCTTGCAAAGGAAACCGACACGAGTACTTCACGTCTTGTATGCTGCTAAGGCGTTCAACAATCGTTCTCATCGTCGGTCTCTCAGATGGATCTTTCTGAAGACATCTTTGAGCAATGTCAGCCACAATCCTAGACGCTTTAGACGGGAAGCGCCCTTTTAGCTGAGGATCCATGATCAGAGACAGTCGACAATCATCGTTGAGGAAAGGCCCGCTCCATTTAACTAAGTTTCGCTCTTCCTTCGGATGACGGTTATCGAGATTCCTCCTGCCAGTAAGTAGTTCCAGAAGAACAATTCCAAAACTCCAAACATTGCTCTTAGGAGTAAGCAACCCTCTCTCCAAGGTTTCCACTGATAAACTTGCACCCACCTGCATATATCACCCGAGTCAATCATGCTCGTTGTTCGATTAGAAGAAAGCAAGGAGGCAGGCAATCAGTTTACTAACCACCGAGTTGTTCGATATCTCCGACTTGGGAATATGTCCGACGCATCCATATCCAGAAAGTTTTGCACTGAAGTCCTTGTCGATCTGTATGTTGGCAGTCGAAAACTCATTGTACATTGCCTGCAGATACAAAATCCCATCCTAAGACATTGGCCAAGTGAACCAAATCTCATGTCAAGTGTATTAATACGACCGCAACTTCTGTTACCTGGAAAGGACCTTCTTCGTGCAAGAAAGTCAGACCTTGGGCAGCACATAATGCAATTTTCATTCTCGAATTCCAGTCGATGAGGGGTCCGTCAGATCTCGAGTATAGAAGCCTATCCAAGCTTCCATGAAACAGCCTTTCATACACCAACAGCCTCTGTTCAGAGCCGTCGCGTGCATGGAAGCCGAGTAGTTTACAAAGGTTAGGATGTTGTAAAGAGGCCAGTGTGTTCACTTCATTCACAAATTCCCTCAATCCCTGGTTAAGCATAGTCATCACCTCATAGTTAGTTCAGGCTTCAACTGGAAACCAGTTTCAAATGCTTGCGGAGGTCAGATATTGTCCTTCACGGGCTTCCCCTCAAAATTTTTAAAACGCGTCTGTTAGGGAGAGGTTTTCACACCCTTATAAAGAATGTTTTGTTCCCCTCTCCAACCAATGTGGGATCTCACAATCCACTCCCCTTCAGGGTCCAGCGTCCTTGCCGACACTCATTCCCCTCTCCAATCGATGTGGGATCTCACAATCCACCCACTATCGGGGCCCACAATCGGCGAGGATGCTGGACCCCGAAGAGGGTGGATTGTGAGATCCCACATCGGTTGGAGAGGAGAACGGAACATTCTTTATAAGGATGTGGAAACCTCTCCCTAGCATACGCGTTTTAAAAAACTCAAGGAGAAGCCCAAAGGGGAAAGCCCAAAGAAGACAATATCTGCTAGTGGTGAGCTTGGGCAGTTATATTATATCTAGAGTACCGAGTAGAGTAGAGCAAACAAAATAGAAATCAACCAGAAAAAGAACAAATTTCCAGAAAAAATGATAACCTCACAACCACTTTGAACTATCTTTTAGGCAAATAATTTATAAACCACCTAATGTGAAGTGCAACCTAACAGATAATATCCAGTTCATCCAAATAAAGTAGCTGTAGTACCTGATTTGATGAATAAAGACGAGTAACATTAGCCTCAAACTTCCTTAAGCTAGAAGAATCATCTCCAAAAGAAGCCTTATATATAAACGACGAGAGACCTTCGGACACGCAACGATCAGAAGAAAAATTATGGCAAGCAGCCGATACTTCTTCGAACGAAAAGTTCCGAAGTGAACCCGTAGGAGGCAATGGCAAGGGTCCCGACGAATATAACGGCCCACTGGACGTGACCGATTTAAAGCTTCCTGAAATTTTCAAAGAAGCAGTAGCCTGAGGTGAAGGAAGGGGCAGCGGTTGTGGACCTGAGGATTTTTGCTCCTTATTCAATCCAGCATTAAGCTTCGACTCCTCGTGTGCATCGTAATCCATCGCTGCAAGAGCGTCCTGTTGGGCATCGTCGAGTGACGAGGGAGCAGACAATGCCCTGGCTCTATTGCTGGATATTTTATTAGCTGATTGAACAGGCTTGACTCTAGTTCTGAAGCTTGGTGGTGCGGACTGCAAGGATCTTGTTTCAAGCTGGGGCTCAGGGAGCATAGTAGGCAAGTGCTCCTCCTTAGGATTAAGGGGTTTAACATACGCAGGCTGATCGACCTTTTTCTTTTTGGTCTTCCAAACAGCGAAACAGGGCATCTTTTTTCAAAGCCTATATACAATTGGTAGGCTTCTTGGATTAATCTGCACAAGGAATTAATACACCAAATATTTCAAAGCCTATAACAAACAAACACGTACACATCGAGCGCTTCTTGAATGAAATGATCAAGGAAATTGTAATAACTCAAGCCGACCACTAGCAGATATTGTCCTCTTTGGACTTTCCCTTCTGGATTTTCCCTCACGGTTATAAAATGCATTTACTAGGGAGAGGTTTCCACACCCTTATAAGAAATGCTTCGTTCCCCTTTCCAACCGATGTCGGTTCTCACAATCCACCCCTCTTGGGGGCCAGCGTCCTTATTGGCACACCGCTTGGTGATTGGCTCTGATACCATTTGTAACTGTTAAAGCCCACCGCTAGCAGATATTGTCCTCTTTGGACTTTCCTTTCAAGGTTTTAAAACAGTCTACTATGTAGAAGTTTCCACCCCCTTATAAGGAATGTTTTGTTCCCCTCTCCAACCGACGTGGGATCTCACAATCCACCCCCCTTGGGGGATCAGTGTCCTTGCTAGCACACCCCCCAATGACTAGCTCTGATATCATTTGTAACTGCCCGAGCTCACTATTAGCCAATATTGTCCTCTTGGAGCTTTCCCGAATTTCCCCTTAAGATTTTAAAACTCGTCTACTAAAGAGAGAGGTTTCCACACCCATATAAAGAATACTTCGTTCCCCTCTCCAACCGATATGAGATCTCACAATCCACCTCCCTTGGAGCCCAGCATCCTCGCTGGCACACCGCCCAGTGACTAGCCCCGATATCATTTATAACTGCCTAAGCCCACCGCTACCAAACATATTATCCTATTTAGGCTTTCTCTTCAGACTTTCCCTCGCGATTTTAAAACACGTCTACGAGAGAGAAGTTTCCACACCCCTACAAGTAGAAGAATACTTCGTTCCCTTCTCCGACCGATGTAGGATCTTACAAGAACATACGAAATTAAACACCAATCCATCCAAAACATAATCATTCAATCCCCTTTTCAAAAGGGCATCTGAGAAAAAATCCAGAAAATTGTCTCCCCTCTCCTATTTCACTTTCAAGTACACAGTATAAACCACAATCTATAAGCAAATCGATAAACAATTCATAAGCTCGAACAAGAATTCAAGGAACAAAGCTCAGATTACTAAGAACAGTGATTAAGAAAATCAAACCAGAAGGAAACAGCGATAATTAAAACCCTACCAAACAGACCATAAATCAAGAACTCAAGGCAGAATACGAACCTGGAAATGATTGAGTCATGCAATCGGAAGTGAAGAAGAGGACGAACAGAAAGGGTGAAAGGGAAGAAGTGAAACTGATAGATCTTTGAAATGGAAAAAACCCAGAAAAAGACGATAGGAAGGAATAGTTTCTATGAAACAGAGATAGAGAGATGGGAACCCCAATGAGCAGTAGTCAAACCTACCGAACCCCGATTTATTTTTTTTTTTTTTAATATTAAAAACCAAATTTTGTTTTTTCATGTTGTTTTACAATACTACCCTCCCTTTTTTCAGTTTCTTCTTTCTAAAAAAGGAGGGTGAATTGGTGATTTTGGATATATAAATAAAAAGTCTGCCATTTGCCTCGATTGAAGTGACAGCCCAGTCAAAGTTGGAAAATCGTTGATATAAATATATTTTTTATTTTATTTATAAAAAAAAATAATTGTTATAATAACAATAATGATAATTATTTATAGAAAATTAATAATAATAAAAGTTTTCAAGAAGACCTATGGAGATAGGTGTTTGACTACGAATCTGGACCGCTGGATGAGCGAGTGGGGAGAAGGTAAGGAACGGCCACGTTGAAAGGGATGGTGGGACCCACTTGACGTATTTCTGATTTAATAATTTTAAAATGAAATTAAAAATAAAAACAAATGGAAGAGGAAGAGTAGAGGAAGGGGAGTCTCACGCGCCCAAGTGGGCCCCACCACCACTTTTTTTTTCTTTTTTTTTTTTTGTCATTTGAATTTATTTTAATATTTGTTTTCCTCGCAACACACGCAACAATAAATATTAATAATAATTTTCAACAGTTCTTAGTTTATTACTTCAGCTTCAGACTTCAATCCAAACATGAGCCCTTTCAGGTTTTTGGCATTCCCAACCAGATTTGAAAACCAAGCAAGCCAAACCAATTTCAGATGACATTAAGTCATTTAAAACCTTAAATGCCTCAAAAAGTATACCATTTTCTAGTAATGATTTTAAGGAAGACTTCTCGGTCAACTCGATGACTTCTACGAGAAAGACGATATAAAGATGTTCGAGTGCTTCCTACCGAAAACGACTAAAGAAAAAATATCAATGTCTATTTAGTTTTTAAATTTAATTGATTTTTAGACTAAATTTGTAATTTTAAAAGTTGAGGGTCGAAATTATATAAATTTCACCAATTCAATCAACTATTTACTTGATTGCAATCGACTTTGGAATGCCTCTTCAAATAAAAAGATGAATAGTCACTCTCGATCTATTGAACGACAAGTAACTTGATTGGTTTAAATCGAAATCGAGAGAAGGGAGTGACGATAACCTCACAATTCACAAACTAAATTTATAATTTAACTTTACTTATCTCACAAAAGGGTCGGCCATGAATCGGCTTGACCGAGCCCTCAAAGGGTTGGCTCAAACTGGCCTTGTTGACCCCTCAAGGGTTCCAATGCGTCAAAAGATATAGTAGAAGATTTGAATACATCATGGTTATAGATGAAACTCTAGAGTCCAAGATGCCATTAGATATCGGGTGTTTTCATTTACTCCCACAGGACTAAAAGCCCAAAAGTGGCTTAGACAGTAAAGAGGAAGTCCATAGCGTCGTTCCGACCGTTAGCACATGAAGCCAACCACACGCCTCCATCCTATTGTCTTTATGATCTTATGTTTTCCTTTTCGGTGTCGGTTGGAGAGGGAAATGAAACATTCTCGGAATGAAAATCTCTCCCTAATAGACGCGTTTTAAAACATTGAGGGGTAGCTTGGAAGGTAAAGCCCAAAAAGAACAATATTTGCTAGCGCTGGGCTTAGACTGTCATAAATGTATCAAACTCAGTCATCAAGTGGTGTGCCATCGATAATGCTAGGCCCCCAAGAACAAATGGTATCAAACCCAGTCATCAGGTGGTGTGCCATCGATAATGCTAGGCCCCCAAGAACAAATGGTATCAAACCCAGTCATCAAGTGGTGTGTCAGCAAGGATGCTAGGCCCCCAAGAGAGGTAGATTGTGAGATCCCATATCGATTGGAGAAGGGAACCAGTGCTGAAACCTTTCCCTAATAGATATCTTTTAAAACTTTGAGGGGAAGCCCTTTCAACCATTCGACCCAATAACCGTCAAAACCACTTTAAGGTCGGTCCATGAGAGTAAACAAAAACACTCAACACCTAATGAAGTCCAAGTCCTGTCTTGGACTTCATTGAGTTTCATCCATAACCAAAATGCATCTATAAGCTCTACTGGATCATTGATCCATCATATGCTTTGATTGTAAGTAGCTTAAAGTTTTGGTGGTACAGTATCAACAAGAACAGCATAAAATAGAAAACAAGAAGAAGAAATCGAATAATTCCCAAACTTATATTTATAATTATATGTTTATTTGTAAAAAAACGAAGATCTGAGAAGAGGAAGAAAGAACAAAAAAAAAATGTTTTACCAAAATTGCTCTAAATCTAGCAGTTCCAGAAATCTGTCAATTTCTAGCAGTAAAAGAGAAAGCACAGCCATTAGCATTGCCCAAAGGAACTTGGATTTGTGGAACAATAAAACAAATAAAACAAGGCACACAAGTAAAAAGGAACTCAAGCTAGGAATGATACCGACTCTCTTCACTGTGGCGCTGGCGCCAAATTCCGCAAGCAAATAACCCAATCCGACACCAAAAACAGCCGCGCAACTTGATTCCTGCAAATCAATCGACAATACGTAAATTGAAACCCTCATTCCAATCAAAATCGATACATAAAAAACTTACGCACCGCGCGGCTCAAACGCCAAGATTGATATTTAGTTTCATCGACTAGGTATGGATCCGGCATTTTGAAGCCAACACCGGTTTTTGATCGGCGACGCCGGAAATGTTTCTTTACGAAGCTGATAATTCGGGATTTCAAAGTCCGATGCTGTTGAACGAGGATCCGAGACTCCGATTTGGAATCCAGTCCGGCGAGTAATTTATCCAGATTAAGAAGGCTTCGGAATTTTCCCGACGGACGTTTCACGGTGGCCTTGAACTTGATATAAAGGTTGTTCACCTTCGCATGTACCGTGATTTTCCATGACCGCCGGTGACCTAACGCCATTGCAACGACACAGCCACTGCCACTGCCACTTCCACGACTGAAGAAAGCGAAGCACGATAAATTAAATCAGAATGAATGGAACCGGTCATTGTGATACTGACCAAAGTATCCGAAGTGGTTCAACTCATTATTTGGGCCGGCCCAACAAATCTTAATGGGCTCCACCGCCTCATCATAATTCTTTAAAGCTTCATTGTGGGCCCAATCTAAACGGGCCCTTTTGGCCCATAGTACCTTAATTTTTATTAAATAATAAACTCAAACGTTTAATTAAAAAATTAAAATTTTGGAAGCTAATATTAAACTTTTTTTGGGTCTAAAAATGATTGATGTCTCCTTTTTTTTCCTAAATAAAAATATTCCCAAATAATATTAAATATAAATTTTAAAATATTGAATGAAAAATTAACGTGAAATGATATATAAATTTTAGATAAGTTTTTAAAATAATATAATTATATTTTTTAAACAAATTACAAAATTAAGAATATTTATTTTTTAATAACTTAACCCTCAAAAAAAAAAAAAAAAATCCTTCCCATGTTTTGTTGTCTATGGAGTATGTACACAAAATTCCAACCACAAAGAAAGGCTCTTCCAAAAAATAAAAAACGTACGGAAATATCAGAACAGTCCGTGGCTTAGCTAATTGCCACCGCCCTCTACGACCACAACGACGTGGCTTGAAGCAGAGCCCTGCGGCGGCGGTTGCGGCGGCGAAACAGTAGCGCCGTCTCGTTTCCCTTTAACCGGTGGCAGCAGCAACGAATGGCGACAGTTGGGGCAAGAGGAGTGAGATAACAGCCACGTGTCAATACATCTGACGTGGAATCCATGGTTACAATTAGGCAACATTCTAACCTTGTCGCCCACTTCAAACTCCCCAAGGCAAATCGCGCAATCCGTACCCTTAATTTTCGCACAATCACTTCCATAAACCCCAACCGGAATCTGACTAAGTTCTCGCTTCTTAAGCCCAATCGCCGCCAAACGCGCCGCCGTCTCCTCCGGCCTCTCTCGAAACCGGAAGCCGAGGCTCAAAACGCAGCGTACAAGAGAGTTAACACCAAGAGCTCCAATTAGTGCAAATAAGAGCGCCGCCAGAATCACCACCATGTGAGCGTCGAGGTTCATCTCCCCGACATAATACGAGGAATTAGCCGTGGTGTTCCCCGGCACTGGCTCAGTGGCCAGAAGCCGGCGTGGCAAATTTGGGTCCATAACTTCACGGGTGTGGAGGAATTTTTGAAGGTAAAGATAAAGGAAGGAGGTGATGGAATGATGGTTTGAGGTTTATCTTTTTTATTGAGTTCCAAAATCAGTGGGCAGTTCAGAGCTTTAATTAATATCTAAGATTGGGATTTTGTGGGAATTAAAAAAATAGGATTTTGGGAATCGTGGAAGCTGGTGATTGGGCAACGAGTCCATACCTTTTGAGTAGACAGCAGAGGTGTGCTAACATGTAGATATTAGTGTGTGTAGGTAAAGGATAAGGGAAATATCGCTGCCTGCCAAGTTGCCAACCAAAATATCCAACTTTATTGACACCTTTTTTGTTTTCTTTTTCTTTTTTCCTTTTTAAGATTTTGTATTTAGAGAGAAAAAAAACCGATACTTGAGAATGGAGGCTGGAGGAGGTTAGGGTCAGAAATTATCCATATTGGTTTAGTTTGGGGTGGTTACGTGGCAGAAAATGAGTGGTGGATTTTATATGGGCTAAATTAATATAAATATCTCTACTTTTATTTCAATAAAATCCATAAAAAATATCTTCAAAAATATTTGAAAAATATCATTAAACTTTCCACCTTTCGTATGTTTTTGTAAGTTTTTTTTTAATTTTTTTAAAAAAATTGGTAGTGCAGTATCCTTATGCATGAAGATAATCGATTCGATTATGAATTTCTAATGACATTTTTTATAGGGATTTCTTATCTCTTCCATCCTTGAGCTCGAGTTATGGAAGAATGAGCCGAGAACGTTCAAAATAACTAAAATCTAACAAAACGTTAATTAGCACGCTAATTACATATAGCACCCTAAGTGAAAATGGTGATGGATTGCACAAGTACAAAGAAGCCAATTATGTAGCTTCTCTATCATCTAACCCTATGATTAGAATTTTAATGACACAAATAACTTTCTAGTTTGCCCATATGATCTTATAAATAGGCCATTTATGGGTACAAATTTCATAGAAGTTTGGGACTTCAAAAATTTACAAAAATGCTTTGAACCAAAGGAGAAGCCCTAGAAAAGGTGGAAAAAGATCTCTTTTCTGTAATGAAAAAACGAAGCTAATTTGACTCGACACAACCTAACGAACCAAAGAAAGAGAAGCCCCAGAATGGGAAAAGATTTCTTTTCTTTAATGAAAAAACGGAGTTGATTTGACTCGACACAACCTACCGATGCATCCAATACCAAAGATCTGTGCCTAGACTGCGTTGCTAGGTCTCCGCCCTATCAAGCTATACAGGCAACAATAAAGGCTATTCGACCGAGGGGCTTCAATCCTAGTTTATTGAATTCTATTTCTAATTGATCTTAGAAACTTGAAACATACTACTCTTCCGTCTCTAAAATTTAAAAAAATTAAAAAGAAATTTAAAAAAAAAACCTCTAAATATTACCCTAGTCTTCGAAGAAAGATTAAACGATCCATTTTAGAATGATAATTGACGTTTTATCCACTACGAGTCAGATACTCTACACATGAGTATGATATATCCTTAATATTTAGCAAATTAGCAATGTGGCTTTACAACCCAAATCAGTTGAACAATTATTTGGTGAATGGGTTCTCCCATTGACATCCTCTCTTTTCCACAGCCTTCATTGTATTCATCATCGTCTTTGAGTCCTAGAATCCGGGTAGTCAAAATACATATGGATACACTACCACAGGCATGTCTTTTTCTCCATGTGGAAAAGAGAACAAGCTATTCAAAAATTATACCCCTTATTGCGAGCCCTTAGCCTTTTTAGCAGCAAACAGTTGGCGAAGGAATCCAAACTTTCCTCTTGCTCGAGCGGAGAACTCGGTTACAGCACCGTCGCTAGTCGTTGCTGTCTCGGTTGTATAAGATGCTTGTGAAGATAACAAAGGAGGTGGGAGTGTAAATAGATATTCATTAAGCATCCGGATGATCTGGCTGAAGCTGGGCCTCATGTTGGGATCTTCAACCCAACACGACTGAACTATAAATGCTAGATCAGGAGGTATGTCGCCTGGAATACTAGGCCTCTCTTGCTGCATTTCCAGACCATAGCCTCAAATGGTTAGGTTAGATATTTCAGAAAACAAACGTATAATATGACAGAAGAAAACAGTCCAAAAGAACATGGATAGTATAATATTGTTCAGTTTGAGCATAAACTCTCGTGGCTTTGCTTTTAGTTTCTCCAAAAAACCTCATACCAACAGAGATATATTCCTTACTTATAAACCTACGATCAACCCTTTAATTAGCCGATGTGGGACTCCTTTCCCAACAATCCTAACCTTGAACAATGTACACCATAGAGCCTCCTCTACCCTCGAACAGCCTCTCCTTAACCGAGGCTCGACTCTTTGTCTGAAGCCCTTGAACAAAATACATCTTCCATTTGACACTTGACTATACGTTCGAGGTTCACAACTTCTTTGTTCGACATTTGAGAATTCCATTGACATGGCTAAGTTAAGGGCATGACTCTAATACTATGTTAGGAATCACGACTCTCCACAATAGTATAATATTGTCCACTTTGAGCATAAGTTCTCATGGCTTTGCTTTTAGTTTCTCCAAAAAGCCTCATACCAATACCAATGGAAATAGTATTCCTTACTTATAAACCCATGATCAACCCTTTAATTAGCCAATCTGTGACTCCTTTCCCAACAATCCTCAACCGTTTATTGCATGCGATTGAATCTGAACAAATATGTGATAAGATGAACAGAATAAAAAAATTGCAGCTTTTAGTACCTTGAAAGCAGCAGCATATGCAGCTTGCAAATTGGACATCCCTTCAAATGGCATTCGATTCGTCAAGAGTTCCCATAAGACAATTCCAAAGCTGTATACATCGACCTTGTTGTTGTAATGCTTCTTCTCTCCCTGGCGCAAGGTCACAGTGCTATACAACTACAGGGACAGACAAGATAGCCAATAAAACTTCATCTTAGAAAGAAACTGTGCAGGATTCACAAACCAATCAACAAGTAATCCTCCAAAAACAGATCGACAAACCACTCGACATCGAGATTATGGATCTGGAGAAGAGGGAGAGTCGTGTTCATTTAAAGATGCATAAAGTTCTTACAACTTAACAATAACAATGAAATGCCAATAATTAGACCTAAAACTTTGATCTTTCGAATAGCAATATTATGGGTAATGCACTTGGTTTCATTAACAAAGAGTTCAAAGAAAAACACCTCAGGAGCCATCCAGCGGTAAGTCCCTGTTTCTGCAGTCATCATCTCAGTCACAGATTCTTCTCTAGCAAGGCCAAAGTCTGCAAGCTTCACAGACCTTTGGTTTGCCGTAAGCAACAAATTGTCTACATCGTAAGTAATATGACATATTAAGAGAACCGATATATATGCCTATTTGTTCTAAATTGAAAAGCTTTGTAGATTGTTACTGGTTACATGCTCAGACCACAGTAAAACAGCCACAGAATTGAAACATAGAAAATCCCCGTTCGAGTTTGGAAACAATGATAAATTACATACAAACACGTGAAAAAGTACAGACGAGGAGCATAGTTAGGCAAAATCGACAAGAGAACCTTCATGAATTTGCAAGTTCACCACAAATTGCTATACTACATGTTCTCTAGCTTATAATAGAAAGGACACTCGACCGAGCATACCGGGTTTCAGATCTCTATGTATAATCCCATTGGCATGTAGACAATCCATAGCACGAGCAACATCCAAAGCAAAGTTAATAGCCAACCGAGGATCCAGCCGTTGCTTACGATTATTCATCAGATACTTCCTCAGTGACATTCCTGGTAATAGCTCTGTAACTATCACCATTAGTGGTTCTTTACAAGCTCCAATAAACTGCAAAGCAAATATCTTGCTATATTTGGTAAAGTATAAAACATTGAATGTGTATACAACAAGAAGTATTGAACCACTGATGAAAACAAGCCATTTGGTTTCCTCACCTTGACAAGATTGTCATGTTTTACCCGGGACATCATATTAACTTCACGAGCAAAACGGTTCTCTAGTGCTGCTCTTTCTTCCGGAGTACTCCCTCGATGGAGAACTTTAATGGCAACGATTTTGTTCCGATACCTGCAAAAATTACAAATGGGAAAACATCGAACAAGTGGAAAACGTCGTGCAAGAATTCGAAGCATGAACTAATTAAGACCAAAACAGGCTTAGTTACATGGCAATAATAATCTGTTTACGTAATTTGTTCAGTAATTGTCGAGCACAAACCATCTTTACACGTAGGTTAGAGCCACGGTGACTCGAGAATCAGGACACACAAAACCGTTCCTAAGTGCAAATTCTAAGAGATTTATGTGCGGGACGGACTTAAGTAAAAGCATATCGGATTCGCAGTTCGATACATATGAAATTAGACTCATTATGACAACAAATTACCTACAAATGCAAATTGCTAAATTATCAGGTTCTTCAATCAAAGGCTGTAAAAAACAACAATGTTTACACACTGACCTGCCTTCATAAACCTTCCCATGAGCACCCTCGCCAATCTTGGATCCAATGAATAGTAATTTCGGGTCGACAAGAAGATTCTCATCAATCGTCAACTGTTGAGCCGTAATGGATCCATTTTGGCTGACCGATTTCCGTTCTGCGTCAACAGAGTTCCTCTTAACTGGCTGCTGCTCGGTTTCCCTACCATCTCTACCTCGATTCTTCTCGTTATAACTCATACTGCAACCTCAAATAATTCCCGAATTTCTCATACTTAAACGCTTACTTACTTCAATCCGACGAGTCTGTGATTATCACTCATTCACATATCTCGGTTTCCAATAGAAGAACGTCTTAAAATCACCAAACTAAATCTCAGCTGTTGTAACCATTGATACTCGGTTACATATATGAACCATTCAGAGCAGAAAAAGCTTATACAGATGAAAGAAAAGCAGTTCTTATAAGAAATAAGCTATGTTCATAGCTTTTCCCCCTTTTTTTCAATCTACCGGACAGTATTTAATCCTTGTAAAACATCCGGCAAATCACCAGTTTGTGACTCTGCGCATAGCTTTGCTTGATTTCAAAGCCTTCTCGTCCGCCTAACCCTAGCAAAATAATCAAACAAAATAACTTACAGTTGACGCCAAAAATTCCGAGGAAACTTTTCGTCCGCAAAAATCCATGGGGTCGTTATCTAACTTGGAGCCTGGAGCTTGATTCTTATTGCCATAGTTGAACAAGAATCTTAAGCCATAAGAGGGAAGGAAAACAAATAGAGTAAAGCTCTACGTTTCTCTCACTAGAAACGGCACTTTCTCTCTCTCTCTCTCTCTACCCACTGAGGAGAAAGAAGCACTCTGCTGCGAGATAATTCCAAGTTCTGTTCCGACGAGGACTTGGGATAATTTTGAAATGAAAATTCAAAACCCCAAAAATAAATTAAAATTTAAAACATTTCTTATCCAATAATAATTGCACACGTGGAGGGTTGAGATGTAAGTCGCATGAGTGGTTTTGACGTTCTCGTTGCAATTGCTTTTGGTGGAATTAATCGTATCGGATTCAGACAAACCCATGCTATGATTCGCTTTCTATTCACATTATCATATTAAAAATATATATTTTAATTTTTAATTTTTTGGATACATTTATTATGATGTATAATTTTTTAATTAATTCTAATTCTAATTAAAAAAAAAAACAGTGACAATTAGTTACTTTAGTTTAATTAATTAAAAAATTAACCTAAATGACCAAAGTCGGTAAAAACTCAGGTATATCTGTAAGTCTTAATTTTAACCCTTTTTTTTTATTAACTATCTAAAGAATTATAATTCACTCTTGAATTTATTGTTTAATAACCGAGTTAAAAAAATTACAATCTAAAAAATTAGGTTAATTTATAATAAAAACATTTGGATTGGGTTAAAAAAATGTTCCAACTCGACCCTATATAATCCTTAAACACTCCTAATTTTGAAAGTCACGTGTATAAAATTTACCTTCAAGTTTAAGCTAAAAAAATATTCCAACTTCCCAAAGTAATTTTTGCCTCCGTTAAAAAAAAAAATTATGACGAAAATTTAAATAGTTCCATTTGTAAGTCTTAATTATTTTTTTTTTACATTTTAACATTTTTTATTAACTATCTAAATAATTAGAATTGGCTCTTGAATTCATTATTTAATAACAAGGTTAGAAAGATTAATTTATGATAAAGATATTTGGGTTGGGTTAAAAAATGTGCCAACTCAACTTTACATAATCTTTAAGTACTCCTAATTTTGAAAGTCACGTGTATAAAATTTACCTTCAAGTTTAATCTAAAAAATATTCCAAACTCCGATCAACTTTTACCTCCGTTAACAAAATTTTTATGGTGAAAATCTAAATAGTTACATTTGTTTCAGTGGATGGGACAAAAAAAAAATTATACAATTCAATGTCACGCGGTTAAAGGGTGAGATCAGCAATTAATTTGATATAGAAAGCTTTAAAATGAAAAAATAATAATCAAAGTAGTTAGTGGTTGATGTATATATATATATATATAATTGAATCCCTAATTATTCGAGAAATAGCATTAAATTATTCATGCATGATAACGTTAGTAATTAATAAAATAACAAGTTAATCCTACATTAATATAATTATTAAATAGAGAGTAATATAAATATTATATATAGGTATATAGGGTAGGTCATAGAGTCATAGGAGCGTGGTAGTGAAGAACTTGATGGACAATTGTTGATGGCGTGGGGCCCAGCAGTAGATGGTTGGAGTTGCCATTTCATCAAACTGTCTCCTCATTCGCCTCAGTCGCCATTTGGAGTTGCCCCCACCCCATCTCATTACGACTTATAATCCCAAATTATAAGCCTTCGAGCCGCCCCCGTTGCCATTAACCATCCCATTTTATTCGATTAGAACCGATATATATTGTGATGTCCTACATTGGTGGAGGAGAACAAATCATGATTTATAAGAGTGTGGAAATCTTACCCTGGCATACGCGTTTTAAAACTTTGAAGGGAAAGCCTGAAAAGAAAAGCCCAAAGAGGATAATATCTGCTAGTAGTGGATCTGAGTGGTTACAAATGGTATCAGAGCCAGACACCAGACGATTTGTCAGCCTTCTCGCTATTCCCCGAAGGGGGTAGACTTGAGGCGGTGTGACAGTAAGGATGCTGGGCCTCAAAGGAGTGGATTGTGATGTCTCACCTTGGTTAGGAAGGAGAACAAACCACCATTTATAAGGATGTAGAAACTTTCCGTGTTTTAAAGCTTTGAGGGGAAGCCCGAAAGGGAAAGTCCAAAAAGAACCATATCTGCTAGCGGTGGATTTGGGCCGTTATATATATATATATATAATATTTCTTTTTTTTAATTTGAAATAATTTTTTTAAAAAAGAATAATTAATGGAAAAAAATACCTATTGAGAACCTGGTCCTTGTAAATTTTTGGTGGACCATCCCCACTTCCGTCTCTGCAAAAATAAATAGAAATTTTTGAGGGAACGAGAAATGAAATAGGTGGTCGGGATGGGGTCGAAGAAGGCTTTCCCGTCTCCGTCCCCGGGCCACCCCTTGGACGTCTCTCATCTCAATTCTTCTTTTCACCCTAAGGTCTATTGCTTTGTTTTCTATTTGACACTCCTTTTCAGTAGATAAGACATTTATGGTTATTTTTAAGATTAATGGTTTAAAAAAATATATATAAAAAATGAAGGGAAAAGGACGAAAAATAATGATAGAAATATAAGATATAAAAATGGAAGCAGCGATATAGCCAAAAGAGGAACTATACAATGGTAGGAGATAGAGTTTGTGGATCCACCACTTCCATCAAATATGTGAAAAACAATGCCTTATGACCCCAAAAGTGAAAAAAAGACCGAAGGGATTGATGGCTTTGCCTTTCATACGCGTGTTCTTTCTTTAACTTCAATGGATACCTTTTTTCCAATTAAAATACAAAACACCATAAATAAATTAAAATTTAAAAAATAATTAATTAATAAATCCACATAAGATTGTGAGATTAACGATAGCCTAAAATAGACAATATTTACTATAAATAAGCATGAACTGTTACCGATGGTATCAGAGCCAAACATGGGACGGTGTGCTAGGGAGAACGTTTACCTCCAAGAAGTGGATTGTGAAATCACACATTGGTTAAAGAGGGATGATGTTACATTGGTAAAAACAGTTAATATCTATTGGCAAAATGAGTTTAAATTATTTATTTTATCAATCAACTTTTAAATTTACGAAACTCATTAGAAATATAATTTATATTTATATTTAATAGATTATTGATTTTTTTTTTAAATTTTTAAATACATTGAAATTTATTAAATATTTTTAAAAATTTGGCATAAAAAAATACTAACTAACTAAACTTATAATTTAACGCTAAATTATTATTTTATTAATATATTTTAATATGAGTGGAGATGTCACCAAAAAGAAATTAATTTCATAATTAGTGGGTCTAATTTTGTTCGTCAAGTAGAACAACATGAATATACGCACAATTTCTTTATATAATAACTCGGTTACAAAAATTAATATTAAATAAAATATAAACTAAATTAAGAATTAATTAAAATATAAAATGCCGGGTAAAAAATTCATAATTGGCTCATTTTCTTTTGCCGATTCCCTCAAGCCACTTTACCCAGATATTACTTAGTCTTTAATAATTTTTACAAATTTTTAATTTATTTTCAAATTTTTAATTTTGTATGTAAAATATTTAATTTTATATCACATAAATCTTTAAAAATATTGAAATTTTAAAATTAAATGATTTGTTAAATATAAGTTTATATTTTATGTTTAAAAAAATTCAACAAAATTTATAAAAAAAATATATAATAAGTCTTTTGTCTAATAAAATTTAAAAAGTTTAAAAATATCTAATAAATTTTTAAATTTTAATTTTGTATTAGATTTTTTTTTTTAAAGCATAAAAAACTTATTAAAAACATTTAAAATTTTGTTACACTTGTCAGCAATGATATGATATTGTCTACCTTGAGCATAAGTTCTCATGTATTTGCTTTGGACTTTTCCAAAATGTCTCATGTCAATAGAGAGAGTATTCTTAATTATAAATACATGATCATTTCCTAAATTAGCTGATGTGGTGGGACTTTCATTATCCAACACCCCCCTCGAACAAAGTATGTCTCTCCTTAATCGAGGCTCGACTCCTTTTTCTTTTGAAATCTTAGTCATTTTTTACCATGCCTTCAAGAGGCTTGACTCCTTTTCTCTTGAAGTCTTTTGTTCGACATTTGAGAATTTACCAATCTATCGACACGACTAAATTTAAGGCATGACTCTAATACATGTTAGATTAACACGACTATCTACAATGGTATGATATTGTTCACTTTGAACATAAGCTCTCATAATTTTGCTTTAGATTTTCTCAAAAGTGTCCGGCGAAATAATATTTCTTTTATTATAAATCCATGATTATTCCTTAAATCAGCTGATGTGGTGGGACTTTCCTATCCAATACTTTTCTTAAAGTTTGAAGTTTAACTTGAACCCAAAAAGAGAAAGAAAAAAATAATAATAATAATAAAAATAGGTATAAATTGAGGGTGTGACAAGGACGGGAGCCAAACAAAGGAGAGGGAGAGAAAACGTTGTCGAATGAAAATGGGAGATGTCGGCAGATGGGCAGTGGGTGTGGTCGTGGTCGTGGGAAATACCTACCCTCCTTCTGATGGTGACCATCTCCTTCGCATAAAACGTGAACAATTCTTTATTCACTTGGTTCATATTCTTTTCTAAAGTTAATCACATCGCTTTACCTTTTATCACTCTTATCCCCACATGGACCTTCCATTTCACCCTTCTTTTAGAAATATTCTTGTTATTTTAAAACTTACATTATTATTTTATAAATATTTTCAAATATTATGGTAACAACAAATTTGTTAAAATATTGATTGAAGGGTTAATGGGTCGAAATGTCGTCGTAACACCCGAGTAGATTAGAAGTACATGAATGAATCAAGATCACATGTGAGAGTAATTTTGAAAATAGAATGATTAAAAAAGACTTCAAAAATTGAAAGTTACTGTGTATACTAACAATATACATCTTTCTTTTTAGTCGCTTAATCGTAAGAATTTTCTATGATGTATATGAATAAGGACAAATCATATTTGAAAGACTCGCGTTGGTTTATGGAATAATTTTCACTCTTAAGAAGCGAGAATTAGGTAACCTGACTGTATCGTAGGAGAATGCTGGGACTATTAAATGTCGTATTAAGATTCTAAATTATGATCAGAAAACTTGACATAAATTGTAAAAAATTGGACTCCATCTACCTCATCTTTGAACTGAAATCGAGCCAA